CCCCCAGCCCTCTCCACTGCCGCCACCCCCTGGGCTCCCTGGCCCTCGGCCAGTCCCCGGGCGTCTCTATGATGTCCACTGTGCCAGGCTGTCCCCCGTCTCCTGCCTATTACTCCCCTGCCACCTACCACCCCCTCCACTCCAACCTCCATGCCCACCTGGGCCAGCTCTCCCCGCCTCCCGAGCACCCCGGCTTCGATGCGCTGGATCAGCTGAGCCAGGTGGAACTCCTGGGGGACATGGATCGAAATGAGTTCGACCAGTATTTGAACACTGCTGGCCACCCGGACTCCGCTGCGGGGGCCGCGGCCCTCAGTGGGCATGCCCCGGGCTCTCAGGTGACGCCCGCGGGCCCCACAGAGACCAGCCTCATCTCCGTGCTGGCGGACGCCACGGCCACGTACTACAACAGCTACAGNGTGCAGCCCGGCCGCCTGTCCAGCCCGGCCGCCTGTCCAGCCCGGCCGCCTGTCCAGCCCGGCCTCCACGGCGCCACTCTCGGTCCTGGACACAGCAGAGCCCACCGCCCTGTGCGGCCGCCCCGCGGGGGAGGGAGGGCGGTGAACTGGCTGCAGATCCCAGCGCCCTCTCCCTCCCCTTCCCCGCCCTCCCCTCTCCAGCAGCCTGCGTTTTGAGAACTTTCCTTCAGATGGGTTTCCGTTGGCTATACCTGGGCATAAGACGAGGGAGCTGTTGAAAGTCGCTGGTTCCAGGTAGAATCTTCACAGACCTCTGCTTTCTGTTCCCATCTCAGAAACAAATGTGCGAAAAGCCCAGCAGCGTTCACACCTGGGAGCCCTGGGCTGGGATCCAGAGGCCCAGGATCCTCAGAGGGCCGGTGACACCCTGACTGGCCTCTCCTTCCCTTCCCGTCTGCTTCCCCCATCCGTAAAGCGAGGGACAGATTTAACATGTAAGGTCCCTTCTGCTCCAGGGTTTTCTGATTTAGGATTCTCTCAAGGCTAAAAGGAAACTATTGGACTCGGTAAGCTCCTTAAGGTGTGACCTGTGATAATTCCGTGTGCACAGCCCAAGGATGCAGGGCCTTCTGCACTTGCACTGCCTTCCAGAATGATCTTAGTTGTCCAAAAGGACTCCTTTCCAAGCACGAGGGTTGTCTGCGTCACTGAAAATGAGATTGAATTCAAGCTGTATTTGCAAAATATATTTTTTAGATAAGTTCTTTTTTATTATTATTAAACACACATTTCAAGAGAGTATACACAGCCTGAATGTGTACAGTCAGTGTAGGAGAGACACGCAACACACACACCTTCATGCACACCTTTACCTTGCATGCATGCCTTTGCAGTCTAAATCAGATACTTTGGTTGATATCGGCAACTTTTTATCAACACCCGGTTCCTAATGACGCAAAGAGCAGGGGACCTAAACAGAGTTTCTTCCAATCTGAATGTGTTCGTTTCTTGAGCAAAATTTCAGCATATGCTCCCCTCTGCAGAAGCAAAGGGAGCTTTCCTCCTGCTCTCTCCCTCTCCCTCTCTCCCTTTCCTGAGATTTCTTTTTCTCTTCTTTGCTCTTCCTCCACCTCTGAATTGGCCACTAATTCAAAGATTCCCCTGACTTAAAAATTCCAAGCCTGATTCCCATGGGTGGGAATTTATTGGTTCTTTAGGTAACACCTTCAGACAACCTTCATAACAATTTCTCCACTGCACCTATGTTGTGCTCACTTCCCAAAGAACAGAAAAGCCCACTGTGATTCAGAAAATGTTTCTGAGCCCTGACCTTACCCCCAGAACATTTCTATCCTCTCAGATCTCCTTTGAAGGAACATACCTAACGGAGCGAAAAGGTAGTTGTTTGTCTTTCGATGTCTGCATATTATTGCCTGTATGAAATATGTAAGTGTTTTATATATTCTCCTATTATTTTCACCTTATATTTTGTATTGTTGAAAGATCCTTTTTTTTTTCCTTCCAAGGAGTCCGATTGTAAAATCGCTTATAAGATATGATTAATCCTTATGCTACTACTGTATACAATGTTTGGTAATAAATAGTAAACCATTGACAATATGATTGACTGGTGCAGTCCAGAATGTGTATCAATAATCTTGTAAAACATGGTCACAGACATTAGGCTAAACTGTTCCTTTTTTTTTTTTTTGCTAAAAACTACACATGCTTTGGAACGGTTGTAGATATTAATTTGTCTAAAATATTTAATTTAAATAAACTTTTTTTTACCATGACCATTCTATCATTTGAAACCTAGTTGTGCAAAAAAGGAAACTTTTTCAAATGAGGCAGAGATATTATGCCCAGTGCTACTTACAGTATTGGTCAAAATGTTTTCCACGCCTACTTTTAATTTTTATTTTAAAAAGTTGCTATTTGTAAGGATGGCTTATTTTATTTTTGAATTATGGTGAAGAGATAAAGGCTAATATTACACACTGAAAACAGAATTGTTGTTATTAATGGAAGAAAAGACCAATTTATAGCCTACCTGCAGAACAGATTTTCTCCCCAGGTTATCTTTACAATTATAAATTCGAACCATGTGTTATCTCAGTTGCTTACTTAAAGCTACTACTTTTTTCCCTTCTTTTTGAAAGTCTAGAAAAATAGACTATTGCCCTCTTTACTATGCATTTACGGATGTGGCAATAACAAGACATGCGGGCTCTCGAAATTGGATGGAATGCTGTGAGAAGGCAAGGGAGCACACGGATCAGCAATTAAAGGATGTAACATCTTGTGAGGTTTAGGATTAAATGCCAGCCAGAAAGTGCCTGGAAAAAAACTGATGATTACTCAGTTCGTGCAGGTCACCCATGTCTGGCTCCTCTCCGCTGTGAAGCAGTTGTAACTTGTTCGAGTCAAGGGTAGTCTTGTGTTCTCCTGGGCCCTCTGGGCCAAGGAGTGGGTCTTGGGAGGGCCCAAGATGCTCCTCCTTCTATTTTTATCATAATCTATAGTCACTAATAACACTTTATAGGTGTAGAGAGTTTTACGGCGAGTTTTATGGACTATTTCTTATCTACAGCCCAAGGTGGGCCCTGTCATCCATCCACCCCATTGCGTAGCCAGGGACACTGAGGCCCAGGGTGGGAGGTGATCCCGTGTGGCTTCCCCGCACTGGGCCGGTGGTGGCTGGGGTTTCAGCTCTTGCTTATCACATAGTGTTGGCAGCATCTGCCTAACAGTCCCACAGCCAGGGGCTTTGTGCTCCACTATGACGTGGAATTATTGTACATGCCGTCCAATGCATACCTATCACAGCCCAGGGAAAGAAAGAACGAACAAAGAGGAAATTACAGGGCCAGAAATAGACAAAATCTGAACTCGCTGACGCCCAGGCCCAGCACAGCTGACAGTGGGGTTGCAGGGTCATCATCTGGCTGGAGGGCTTGTCCAACAGCATCTGCCCAAGACATCGGCCCTCAACAGTGCCAAAGGGCGCGGATTTCATTCCAGGACACACTGTGGGAGTGGGGGCGTTGTCCCTGCCCCTGGGAATACAGGAAACAGGCAGGCGACAGGGCTGCTCTTTCACTTTTTTTCTCTTTCACTTTTGCTCAGCTCTGAGTGACACAGTGGTGCCCTAGTGACAAGAGCACTTTTTGCTTTGCCTGATAAGAGTTGATGAGTATGAAGACTTATAAGTTATTTTTCTTAAATGTAGATTTTATCATTTCAAACTCTTTTCCTTGAGATCCTCAGCGCCTGCTCGTCACACTTGGCACACAGGATGAGCGCAGAGGCGGGGTCGTGTGAAGCCAGCAGGGGTCATGCCTCCCGCGCCCTCACTTCTGCAGGTTCCTGGGAAGGACCCTGGTAATGCAGTCACATAGCCATTTGTTTTTATAAAATTCACAAAAAGCAAGATTTTTTTTGTATCCTTCCCTTTAAAAGCCCCCTCCCCCCAATTGTACAAGCTTCAGGACCCCTAACACCTGGCTTAGTTGCTCGTGACTGCCCCTATCGCAGGTGCTCTTCTTTCCAGAAGCCCCTCATGATCCCCGTCAGCCCCCTCCACATGGTGTACCTAACGCACAGAAAGCCCATTGTTTCCATACTTTCTTGTTTTTCCCACGCTTTTTCCCTGACCGGGGAGACCCTCACTCCCATTATCTATCTAATGGCATCCTACTCACTGTCCTTGTCAAGCTCAGATGTCCCCAACCCTGCTGGGAAGGGGGGCTGGGAGGGCTTAAGCAGATTTGGATTTTGGCACTTACCGCCTGATGTCAGAATCATTTACCCATCACATAGTATCTGCTCAACAAATAAGTAAATGGACAAATGAATAAAGTAAACATCTGAGATGCCCTGTTGGTATTCTGTTTAATCTTAGTGAGAAAAACCTAAAACCTTTGGGTTNGCCCGGCCGCCTGTCCAGCCCGGCCGCCTGTCCAGCCCGGCCGCCTGTCCAGCCCGGCCTCCACGGCGCCACTCTCGGTCCTGGACACAGCAGAGCCCACCGCCCTGTGCGGCCGCCCCGCGGGGGAGGGAGGGCGGTGAACTGGCTGCAGATCCCAGCGCCCTCTCCCTCCCCTTCCCCGCCCTCCCCTCTCCAGCAGCCTGCGTTTTGAGAACTTTCCTTCAGATGGGTTTCCGTTGGCTATACCTGGGCATAAGACGAGGGAGCTGTTGAAAGTCGCTGGTTCCAGGTAGAATCTTCACAGACCTCTGCTTTCTGTTCCCATCTCAGAAACAAATGTGCGAAAAGCCCAGCAGCGTTCACACCTGGGAGCCCTGGGCTGGGATCCAGAGGCCCAGGATCCTCAGAGGGCCGGTGACACCCTGACTGGCCTCTCCTTCCCTTCCCGTCTGCTTCCCCCATCCGTAAAGCGAGGGACAGATTTAACATGTAAGGTCCCTTCTGCTCCAGGGTTTTCTGATTTAGGATTCTCTCAAGGCTAAAAGGAAACTATTGGACTCGGTAAGCTCCTTAAGGTGTGACCTGTGATAATTCCGTGTGCACAGCCCAAGGATGCAGGGCCTTCTGCACTTGCACTGCCTTCCAGAATGATCTTAGTTGTCCAAAAGGACTCCTTTCCAAGCACGAGGGTTGTCTGCGTCACTGAAAATGAGATTGAATTCAAGCTGTATTTGCAAAATATATTTTTTAGATAAGTTCTTTTTTATTATTATTAAACACACATTTCAAGAGAGTATACACAGCCTGAATGTGTACAGTCAGTGTAGGAGAGACACGCAACACACACACCTTCATGCACACCTTTACCTTGCATGCATGCCTTTGCAGTCTAAATCAGATACTTTGGTTGATATCGGCAACTTTTTATCAACACCCGGTTCCTAATGACGCAAAGAGCAGGGGACCTAAACAGAGTTTCTTCCAATCTGAATGTGTTCGTTTCTTGAGCAAAATTTCAGCATATGCTCCCCTCTGCAGAAGCAAAGGGAGCTTTCCTCCTGCTCTCTCCCTCTCCCTCTCTCCCTTTCCTGAGATTTCTTTTTCTCTTCTTTGCTCTTCCTCCACCTCTGAATTGGCCACTAATTCAAAGATTCCCCTGACTTAAAAATTCCAAGCCTGATTCCCATGGGTGGGAATTTATTGGTTCTTTAGGTAACACCTTCAGACAACCTTCATAACAATTTCTCCACTGCACCTATGTTGTGCTCACTTCCCAAAGAACAGA